GGTAGGTCCCTGTGGGCGTTTCCGTTTTCGCCACTCAGGTGCACAACCAGGTGTGCCAGACAAACAGGTGCATTGCCAAAGCGGGCGCGCAAAGCTCGGTGCACGGCCAAGGCGCGTCTTCACTCTCTGTGCGGAGAAAACCGAGGCTCAGGAGGGAAAGGAGATGCCGAGGTCGCAGAACTGAGTCGCGCCCAACCAGGCCTGGAACCCAGCCAGGCTCTTCCTCCGTGGGCACTGCTCCACCCTCGCTGACTGGCAGAGTCAGGACTGGCCCTTCCGGCCACCTGCACCAGCCCCCTCACCCCTGCTGCGGTCCCATCACCACCATAGCTCCTCAGTGTTAGTGCTCTTCCTCTGAACAGAGCCTGCCACCTCCCTCCCTCCCACTCCTCCGTTGGCCTTGTTTACCAGGCTTCTCCACTTGGATTTCCCTGCTTTCTCTGCGCGCAGCTGGCCCCATTGCAAAGACGAAGGGGCTCCATGTGCTGGTTCTCCATTGCCGTTGTGCGACCTGCATCATCTCACACTGCAGACTTCCCTGTCTGACATGAGGTGACTGCCCCTCCCCAGGGGCAGGGTAGATCTCAAGGGTAGACCTGGTTAGTGTCACTCTGGATATCTGCCAGCTCCCACTCCTTGCCCTTGGTCCCAGCCCATCCAGCACTGGACCCGTGGCCTTGTAAGGCGGGGGTGGGCTCCCTACCCTCCAGGAGGCTGGGCCGTCACCACCATCCCGGCTGCAAGGCTGTTTGTCCTCCAGTGCTTGGCTCTTGAGGCAAGTCTGTCCCTTTTCATTGAGGCCGGGCTCCCGAGACCCTGCTGCTTCAACTTTTTCAAAAATAGAGCAGCATCTTCAAAAGCAGAAATAGAGCCCATTAGTAAACTTGGAAAAAATATTTGACTTGAACAATTAAAAAAGTAAATTAAAACAATATTCTGTTGCTATTTTTCACCTGTAATTTTAATTTAATAATTTTTTTGTTAATCCTCATCTAGGGATAGTTTTTCATTGTTTTTTTTAAGAAAGAGTGGAAGGGAAAGAGGGATGGAAGGAGGGAAGAGAGAGATAGAGAGAGAGAAACATCGATGTGAAAGAGACATATCAATTGGTTGACTCCTGCACGCACCCCGACCAGGTCCAGGGATCAAACCTGCAACCCAGGTACGTGCCCTTGGCTGGGACCTGCAACCCTTTGGTGCGTGGACCAACACTCTAACCATTGAGACACACCAGCCAGGGCTAAAGTTTAATACTTTTCTGGTGATCATGAGATGAAATGTGGGCTCTCACCTTCTTGGAAGGAGAAGGAATGGATTTCAGAGTGTTTGGCTTTTTAAAATTATTTGATTGTGGTAATATATACTTAACATAAAATTTACCATTTTAGCCATTTTTAAGTGTACAGTCAGTAGCATTAAGTATATTCACATTGTTGTGCAACCATCACCACCACCCATTTCTAGAACGTTTTCATCTTCTCAAACTGTAACTCTGTGCCCATTAAACAATAATTCCCACTCCCCCCTTCTCTAGTCCCTGGTAGCCACCACTCTACCGCTGTCTCGTGTGAGTGGAATCTATATATACTAGTATATAAAAGCCTAATATGCAAAGTGTCCCCTTGGGAGTTCAACCGACCAGGACAGTGGTCGGCAAACTCATTAGTCAACAGAGCCAAATATCAACAGTACAACGATTGAAATTTCTTTTGAGAGCCAAATTTTTTAAACTTAAACTATATAGGTAGGTACATTGTTATTAACTTAATTAGGGTACCCCTAAGGCTTAGGAAGAGCCACACTCAAGGGGCCAAAGAGCCGCATGTGGCTCGTGAGCCGCAGTTTGCCAACCACGGGACCAGGAGTTTGATTGGTCGCTGTGATGTGTGCTGACCACCAGGGTGCAGTGCAGAACAAAGGAAGGCCCTGGCCAGCAGCCAGGAAAGGGAGGCCCCAGCCGACAGCCAGCAGCTGCTAGGGACCCTACCCGTGCACGAATTTTGTGCACTGGGCCTCCAGTAATATAACATTTGCCCTTTTGTGTCTGGCTTATTTCACTTAGAATAATGTCATTGTTCTTCTATCTTGTAGAATACTTCAGAATTTCCTTCTTTTTAAGGCTGAATATTTCATTGTATGTACATTACCCAGTTTGTTTATCCATTCACCCCAAGAGAGTGGCTTCTTTCTCTTGACTATTAGGAACAATGCATGTACAAATATCTATTTAAGACCTGCTTTCAATCCTTTTGGGTATATACCCAGAAGTGGAATTGCTTGGTCATATAGTAGTAATTGTAAGTTGAATTGTTTGAAGAACTGCTATACTATTTTCCATGGAGCTGCACCATTTTACATTCCCACCAACAATGCACAAATGTTCTTATTTCTCTACATCCTCACCAATACTTGTTACTTTTCCTGTTTTTGTCTGTTTGCTTTTCATCGTGGCTTTTGATCTGACTCTGAGAAGACGAGCAGGAGCTGAATGGGGAGGTGTATTTCAGCAGCAGGAAAGGCATGTGACAGGCCAGAGGCTTGCAGTGCAGGTATGCCTAGGGACAGCGCGGCCTCCTATGGTTGACGCTTAGAGCATGGGGAGGCGATGGCAAGGGATGAGGACTGAAGGCCGTGCCAGAGCCCCATCACAGAAGCCTGAATCTTGGCCGAGAAGCTTGAATTGACTCCGTTGACGTAACAGATGGTTCCAGAATCTGGATGAGTTAGAAACTCTTGCAGCCAGGGAACTCTCAAACCTAGTTGTGAGTTCCATATCCACTGTGTGATCCTACACCTCACTAGGTGTGACCAGGGCCAATTACTCTGCCTGTCTGAGCCGTAGTGTCCGCTGCTGTGTAATGGGGGTAGGAGGGGGGTTGCAGCAGCGCCTACAATAGAGAAAGAGTGAGTTGCTGCGGTGGGGAGGCTGTGGGCTAACTGTTGTCCTTGTTGCACAGCTGACTCACCCTGGCCTGCTCTGGTGTGTCTGGCAGCCAGGACTCCCATCACAGTGGACCTTGGCTTATAGCCTGTGGTCCTACAGCCAAGAGGCTCAGGCAGGGACAGAAGCAGCCCAGGCAGGTCTGGGACACCCTGAGAGTACTCCCCTTGCACAGGGAACTCCCCTTGCACAGGACTTGGTAGTGTACACAGCCACCCCTCACTGACACCCCAAAACAGCTCCTCCAGGAGGCTGCAGTCATATGCCTGCAGGAAACAGAACCTTGGCCAGGGTAACTTGCCCAAGGCCACCAGCTGGGAAGCAGCAGGGGCAGGATTCAAACCCGAGTCTCTGAGGATTTATGCACTCTTGGGAAGCTGGGCTAGATTCATTTATTTGTTCATTTGCCGCTCAGCAAAGATTTACTGAGCATTTACTATGTTCCAGGTACTGCCCAGGAGTGAATGAGACACAGTCTCTGCCCTGGACCTTCTGAGGCCCCTTTCCGAGGGCAGCATTGACCTCTTACCGAGCTTCTGCTGCAGCCAGGAGCATACCTAAATTAGCCCATGTACCCTCGCAGCAGTCTGGGGGGACAGAGACTATTCGCTTTATTTACAGGTAAGAAAGCTGAGACTCGGAGAAGGAGGTGGCTTGCCCAGGTAGCACAGTTGGGAAGGGGGCAGCGTCTGTGCTTCAGCTCCTCAGTGCAGGGTGGACCCTGCCAGCCACGGCCTGGTGCCCGCCTGACCTGCTGCTTGAGTGGCACGGCTGTGCTGGGCGCCCAACTTTCCTATTGAAACGCTATGTTGGGATGTCAGAAGGGCATTGGGTGGGGCCGGAAAGGAGACCACTGTCCCAGTAGTCCAGTTCCAGGAGGGGCTAGATGCAGGGAAAGTCCTATTTCTGACTTAAGTCCTGTCACCATAAACGACTCCTTAATGTAGGAGGGGGTGTCGTTCTCTGCTGTGCCAGATAAAGGAGGAGGAGGGAAGAGAACTGACCCGTTGGGAGCATATACTCTCAACTCCTTTCTTTACCTAGTAGGTCATACACGCACTTCAATGAGGAGTTTGGAATTCTCCTCCTCCAGGAAGCCTTCCCTGATCTACCCACCCACTGGCTGGGTCAGAGGCCTTCCTCTCTCAGGGGCCTGGCCACACTTTGTGGTCATTGTTTCCCCTGCTAGCCTCTCAGGGCTGGGACCTCATGTGAGTCCCATGCGCCCTGCACAGCCTCTGCAGAGTGCCTCTGTGTGTGTGTGGGGGGGGGGGGGCGGAATGTCTGAAGGACGATGAGTCCTGACGCCATCCTTCCTCCCTCTCTGCAGCCTCACTCAGGCCCTCCCCGCTGGCTCTCCTTCTCTCCCCAGAGGGCAGAAGGAACCAGGTGCCCTCTCTGCCCCAGTCGAGCCGTCCGTGGGTTCCAGGGTTCCCATGGGCAGAAGGGGAGCACTCAGAGGCATTCCCTCATCTGTGCTCTACCTGACCCGTGGCTGAGCCCGGGGACAAAGAAAGAAATCAGAAACGGTTCCTCAACAAGTAACTCTAAAACCCGCCCGCGGCATCCATATGAGCCACCAGGAGGGGCTGTCACACCTGCGGGGCTCGGGGAAGGCTCTCTGGCAAGGGAGCCGTGGAAATGTGCACAGCGCAACGAGCACGTCGCGGGACAGCGCGGGCAGGCCTGTGGGGCGCCACGTGGGCACAGACGCGCCAAGATTCTCTGGCGAATCACAAATCTCCGGCCCGGTTGCTGTGGCAGCAGCGGAGGTCAGCGGACCAGGACCAGCGACCGGACCAGGACCAGGGACCTGCGCGGAGGAGTCCAGGGGAGGGGGGAGGCCCAGCCCTCCCAGGATCTCGCCGCCTGAAGTGGTTCAGCGAGGCGCTTGCCTTTCTCGGGGTGAAGAGCCACAGGTGGGGCTGGGCTGGAAGTTGGAAGGAGAAAGGGCCACCAATGCAGGGCTGCGAGCCTGGGGGAGGAGCTGTAGAAGGAGGGCTGGCAGTGCGGGTGGGGGGCTGGGCTCCCCTCCCCCCATACCTGCTGCGCTTCCCTGTCCAGAGCCTGTTGACCACTGTGATTAAGTTATTGAAAACCATTTCATAAGCGCCTACAAGGTGCCAGAGGCCAAGTGGCTTGGCCCGTACGTAGCAGGTCACTCAGCCTAAACGTGGTGGGTGGGGTTTCAGTCCAGGGGTCTTTCTTCATTCATACATACATGATATTGAGATACACATACCGCCTCCTCAATATGTTGTAGCATCTGGGGGTACAGCCGTGAACAAAACAGCAAAGCCTTGTACTCAGGGCTGGCATTCTTGTGGGGCGGGGTGGTTGGAGTGGATAGTAAACAAAAAAGAACAGTATATAAGATGTTGGGTACAGAACCTGGAGACAGAACCTGGCTCTGCTGATCGACTGAACGCTGCCTCCGTGTCATTCTTTCTTTGCTGACTCCGTCCACACCCCTGGACCAGCTGGGGCTGGACCCCAACTGCATCCGCCCAGGACACCTCCAGCAGCATCCCCCACTTTTCCCCTAAGCAGAAGCCGGGAGGCCGGTTCTCTTCTGGCTCTTCCACAGCCTTACCTGGCCCACGTTCTAGCACCATGGATCCTGGAAGCGGGGATAAAGACAGAAACTCGGCAGATACATGGAGCCTCTTTGGACCAAGATCCCTCCAGAAGTCTGATTCGGAAGGCTTTGCCACCCAGCCCGACAGAGGAGCCCAGAAGACTTCTCTAATGGAACGGATGCGCATGCTGGCCACCCGCAAGGCCGAAGATCCAGCCCGCTTCAAGCCGCCCAAGATGGACCTGCCAGTGATGGGAGGGAAGAAACAGCCGCCTCGGACCCCTAATCTCAAATTCCGTGACTTGAATGTGCTCATACCCACCAGTTTCTAGAGCTTTCTCTTCCAATGGCTGGATAGAGGTGTCTTTATTACCCTGGCTCTGACATAAAAAAATAAAAAAATAAATAAAAAGGAACTCCATGGTATTCGCACGGCGCCCCCTGCTGGCCGTTTTGTGCAGCACGTGGCCTGGCTCTCCTTGCCATGCGGCGTAAATTGTTTTGTGCTGCAGAGTATAAAACACGGCCTGAAAAATAAAAATAAATAAAATAAAAGTAAAACACGCCCTGAAAAATAACAAGAAAGCACAAAATAACAATAAAGCACGCTCTGGAAAAAAAAAAAGATGTTGGGTAGTGATAAGGGTTATGGAGAGAAAGAAAGCTGGGAGGAGGAGGAGGTGAGTGCTGGAGGGTGGGGAGGGGGTTGCACAGAGAAAATGACTTTTGAGTCAAGGCTCCCAGTGGCGGGAAGGGGACCAGGCAAGAGTGGGAAGGTGACCAGGAAGGACGAAGGCCCTGAGGTGGGAGCAGCGCTGTCACCCTTCACGGGCTAGCTCCAAAGTCACCTTCCCTACCCCTAACCTGCTGGTGCTAGGGCTGGGGGCCAGGCGCTGGGCTCTCCCACGGCCTCTGTCCTTCCCCAGGTTTGATGTCTCTGCTGTTTATCCTGAGCAGAAGAAGCTGAGAGAAGCTTCGTTCCATGAGCTACGTGAGTCTGCCCAGCTTTGCTGACCCTCCCACGCGGGCTGGCCTCTGCCCTCTGAGTCCCCTACTGTGGTGGATGAGCTGAGCCATCTAGGGATATGTTTTATACCTCTCCACGCCCTTAGTCCTCACACAGAGCTTGGCTAGAGCCAGGGCAGGACTGTTGTGGAAACAGCATGGATTGGGGCCACAGAGACCTGGGTTCCATCCCCACCTCTTGCACTGGCTGGCTGTAGGCTCTTGCATGAGTTACTGCTCCTCCCTGAAGTGTGAGGAGGCCAATGACAGAGGAATTCATGTTGGTGCCTTGAGTACCACGCCCCTCAGTGCCAGCCTAGGTGCTGGGGGTGGGGCAGAGAGGGGCAGGTCACGCCCAGGTCAGGGTGCAACTTCGTGAGGACTTGCTGTGGGTGGACTGGGTGTGTGTGGCTGTCCCAGCTCTGACTGTGCTCTGACTCAGTCCCACTTAGGACCTGGGACCTATGGCTGCAAGGAGACCTGCTTCAGCAAGAAAAAGGTCAAGAAGGAGGTGGGTACAGGCTGGGCCAAGGCCCAGAAAGCCACCCAGCTGCCCCAGCTGTCCCACTTCTAGTCCCAGACCGTCATGAGAGAGAAGCGGCTGCAGGCAAGGTCCCTGGGCCGCGCGGCTCCCCACTCCAGTGGAGGCCTCTGTGTCCTCCCAGGCCCAGGAGAGCTCATCCTTTAAGGACCATCATCATCTCCCTGGGCTCCTTCCGTGTGGACATCCCCAAGTTCAAGGTGTTCACCTTCTCTCTTTTCTTGAAGGGGCAGAAGGACAAGCTCGGGCCCGGCTCCTACAACTTCAAAGACTTCTTAGAACAGCTGCGGCAGAAACCGTGCAGCAACCGGGGGCTGCTCAGCTCCGGGGAGCTTCGCTTTCAAGGACTCATCGGGGTAGGTGTCCTCCTAGAAGGACGGGGCGCCCTCCCACCCTCTGCTCTCTTCAGAGCATGGTGCCCGGTGGTGCTGGAAGCGCCCCTCTTGTCCCACTTCCTCCCCAGGCGTGGCCCGGCTCACCTTTGGGTCCCCACAGCCCTCAGTTTTCCAGGGCCACAGCCTCAAGCCCACTGGCTGGTGTGTAGCCCTGTGTCTGTCCCCCAACTAGACCGGAAGTTCCCTGCTGCCAGGGAGGGGTCTGATTCATCTCCGAGCCCCCAGCACAGAGCCCGGCATACATTAGATGCTCAACAAACTCATTCATCTATATGTCCAGCCAATAATGATGGGGCACCCGCTCAATGCCATGCACTGTTGTTGGTCCTGGGGATCCAGCAGTGATGAAGACAAGGTTCCTGCTGCCCTGGAGCTAGCATTCTAGAGCTAGAAACAGCAGCATAAAGAAGCCAGTCATACGCCATCAGGCTTATGAGAAAATCTGAGACAGGGGAGGGATAGAGAGGGATAGGAGTGTAATTTATAGAGTGGTCGGGGATGGGTAATTTATAGTGGTCGGGGATGGGCTCTGGGAGGAGGTGAGCAACGGAGATTCATGGTATCTGTGAGAGAGCATTCTGGGAAGCAGGGCCAGCGCAGGCTAAGGCCCTGAGTTGGACCAGCAGGCAGGAGGCCAGTGTGGCCGGAGAGTGGGCAAGGACAGAGGAGGAGCGAGAGCAGAGGACTGAGGGCCGGCCAGGAGCACCTGGCAGCAATGGGGGCTTCTGGTTTGATTCCAAGGGCTGTGTGAGGACAGTGGAGGGTTTTGTTAGGAAGGGCCTGGCTAATATTTTCAGAGATACACCCTGCTGGTGGGGGTGAAGGTTGGAGGCTGCAGTGGTCCAGATGGGAGGTGATGGCCA